CTTTGATCAGCAAGCGCATTAGAGCGTGTTAGATTAGACCAAGATCTATTCAGCATGTCAGTGCGTGCTAAAGGTGCTGTATACATACACCGACGCTTCCAGCGCAGCAGCAGTTAACAAGCTAACATCTGACTGACACGCAGCAAACAAAAGATGGGAAACTACAGGTTAATTGGTTGAAAGTGCTAAAAACATCAATGGTTGTTTTGTGAAAGGAACAGATGACATGGAGGCTATTCTGGTCAAACTGAATTCTTGTGACAGTTGGCGATCTCTGAGATGAATGGTCAGTCAAGCTGCATTTTGAAGGTTATGTACAGACACAAATACTACAGTATTGCTTACTGCATACTAAGCAAGATCAGTATATAACCTACTACTATGTAAACAGTATGCAGTATGTAGCAAAAAAAAAAATTCAAACATCAGAATGTGACACTGTTGCCAAATAACCATCTATATTGCATGTTTAATTTAGTGATTGCCATCAATTCATAAATTAATCTGGATTTTTAATCTACTTTTATTTTTAAAATGTCTTGATTTATGGTTTATTTTTATCAACTAGTCAAAAAAAAGGTTGGCTGTATTCACAATGAAATTAGCATACAGCAAACTGTGCTACAAAAACTTAATAATGTACTCTATTCTTTACAAATGGATAGAATTTATATATATTTAATGCTACATGTATTTTTTTTTATAAATGTAAAAAAGATTGTTGGAATACATTTTAGAAGAAAATATTATTTCTGTCTTTCTACTTCAGAATTTCATGTTTAATTCAATGCGTTACTTGCCATTTCTTTATAATTATTTGTGAATTTTGTAATTTTAAATGTGTGTGTAGATGTTCTATGTTGTGATATATGTGATATTGTCACAATTCACTCGGGGAGCAAGGAACGAGGAAACGAGGAGTTCTTGAATAACACAGTCTTTAATAATCCACAGGAAAACCGAGAACAAGGAGGACATTCAACAAGTAGACGCGACATACAAGAACTGAAAGGACTAGGGCTTTTACAGGCAGGATAATTGGGGAGGAATGAGACACACCTGGAATCAAATTAACACAATCAACATGAGGAAGAAACTGGGTCACAGGGGCAAAAACACACACAGAATAGTCCATAATCCTGACATAACGCCCCCTCCCGGAAGGTGCGTCCTCGCACCATAGCAGCAACAGAGGGAGGCGTGGGTGGGAACTTGGGAGGAGGATCCGGAGGAGGACGGATATCCGGGAGGAGGCCGGCAGACAGAGACCAGGGGGGGTGACGAAACACACACACACACACACACACACACACATATATATAAATTATTTACATATATATATTATAATGTTAATCAATATATTAGTTATTATACATTTTATTTAGTTAACATCGTTATATAGGACCATATATAAATATCTTCATAACAAAAATATAATATAATGTATGAATTAACATTATAAATATATTTTATTTATAAATACATAACTATATAATATTTATATTTTTAATATTTATATATTTATATTTATTATGAAAATTTCACCATTAGAATCAGAAATTAATAAATAAATCATTAAATTTTTATGAAAGAGATACATATAAAAGAGATTTAACTAATTTACGGAGGTCCTAGGCGGAGCAGATGGCGCCGGCGACCGACGCGGAGAAGTGGATCTGGGAGGCCGCGGTGGAGCCGGAGCGACAGAAGACTGAGGTGGAGCCGAGGGGATGAAGGAGCCTGACAGAGCCGGAGGTACGAGGTGAAGCCAGAGGAGTTGAGTCCCGAGGCGCAGGATTGTCGACGCCAGACCAAGGCGGAGCCGGAGGGACGAGGCGGAGTCCAGGCCTCGGAGGCTGGAGGCGGAATCGAGGAAGACTCCAGCCACGGCGATGCTGGAGGATGGCAGTCCCGCGGGGCTCGCACCGCAATGATGGTGGGCTGAGGGCGAGCAGAGGGGCTGCCAGACGACAGCGGTGGAGGAGGCTGGAGCGGGTGGGAGGGCTATTATTTTCGAGGAGCAGCCACAGGAGGGTGCTTTCTAGGAGCAGGCACTGGAGGGCACTTTCCAGGAGCGGGGACTGGAGAATCGGAAGCCCCCTCAGGGCTGGACGACGGAACAAAGGACGAAAAAGGGCTGGACGGGACCAGCAGAGACGACGGAGAGAGGAGAGGGGGCAGTTCGATCTCCAGATCAGTCTCCCAGTCTATGAGATCTATATTTATATTTATTATGAAAATTTCACCATTAGAATCAGAAATTAATAAATAAATCATTAAATTTTTATGAAAGAGATACATATAAAAGAGATTTAACTAATTTACCAGACTAAAAATCAAAAATCAATTCAAGTGTACTGAATTATGGGATATAGTGTTCTATGTGTAAACTGCACATTTTGATACATGTATCAGGAAGTACACACGTGGCAGGCGTTGTTGCCGGCTCACACACCTTGACTGACGTCACTGCCTCTGGCTCCGCGGCGATCCTCAGCTCTGTTCGCTCTCTCTAGCGATGGCTCGTCGGTCGCGGCGGGCTCTGGCTCGCCGTCAGCTGAATTATGGGATATAGTGTTCTATGTGTAAACTGCACATTTTGATACATGTATCAGGAAGTACACATTTTTATGTATACAGAAACTACATCCTGCATACAGCAAAAACAGTACAGTAGTATGCTGAACATACTCAAAGACTAAGAAAGAGCAGAAAACAGGCTGATCTTTCCTCACTTCTCTCTTACTGTAAGATATGACTAATGGCGGGGTCACTGCGCCCGATGAGCGGGAAGATTAGTTCTGACCTTGAACATGACCTCCGCAGGTTTCGAGGGGAGAGGAAGGGGAGGAGGAAGAGGAAGAGGGGGCCGCCGGCGTGCCATTATTTCTCTCGTCATTAGGGGTTGTTTCCAGTCCGAAGCTGGGGGGGGGGGGGGGGGGGGTTATTAATTTCATTTCTTTATGATTCACAATCTGCTCTTTTGAAATATGCCATATGCTCGGAGCAATCGGAGGATGACAAGTGTCGGAATCAGTCCGGTAAAGGAAGCCTAAATGAGGCTGATTTACGGTCCCTGCCTCCCGGCGAGTCTGGCTTTCTGCCTCCCCCTCTTTTTTATGATAAACTCCTCCAGCATGGGGAAACAGCAGGCCGTCCCAGCCCCGGCTCAGTCTACATGTGTACCCCTCTCCCAATCAATCCCACATAGAGGCCTGATAACGCGTCACAGGAGAACCCCACGAAAAAAGCTGATAACCAACATGGAGGCCCAGTACATATTTATTAGGGCAGGTGGGCACGCAATCAATACGGAGGAGCAAAATCAGTTTGTTTTAATCATGAACAAACATATTGACCTAACACAATACAGGCCACTTTATCTGGGACTAATAAAAATTCATGGACTGTAAACAGGGCAAGGTACTATCTCTGCTTTGCACTCTTTTCTCTTTCCCTCTCGCGTTTCTCTGAAATGAACTTTTACTGAAATGTGTTAAAATGACTGAGTGAGTCTGGCTGTAGAACGTGTGACAGAGATTGAAATGGAAGACAATCTAATCGCCGGCTCGCAGTATTGTAATATTAAGATGTGGTTTCGCTAAATTGGTTTAAGAGAATCGAAAGTCAAGGCTCATTTGAAATATTACTGATAAATCTATAATTTAACATTCTGCATTATATGCTTCCAGTTTAAGATAAGAAAGAAAAAATTACAATTATACACGATTTAGCAGACAATTTCTTATTTAAAGTGACTAACAGTACATTAGGGACAGTCTCCCTGGAGCAAAGTGAACAGGAAGAAGCACTCTGTCCATATTGAATGGCAAAAAATGAGAATTGAATCAGCCAATCAGAACATTGTTTATGTTTAATAGGCAGAGCAGGATATTTGGACCAATGAGATTTAATGGTGGGTTAATTACTAACAACTGCCTGACATTTCACGACAGTCTTTTACAGTGCTCACCCAACCTTTCTTCTGTTAAACACAAATAAAAAAATATATATTTTCCTCGACACAATCTTTCTAATAATGGAGAATGCAGCTGTGGTCCAAAAAAAATAAATAAATACACACATTAAAGTTCCAAAGTTGTCCAATTTGTGCTTGTTCCCATATTCAGATTACAGTATACAACTGCACTGCAATTAATAATGAATGATGCAACTCATTTTGATGAAACTACTGGATTGTCATTCTTGCAGCTAGATATGCTAGGGCATGGTGTAAGAGTCTTGCCCATAAGCACAATGGTGATAAGATCATGAATTGCCATTTCTAGGGTTTGAACCTACAACCTTTGGATTACCAACCCGGATGTTTAACCACTGAGACACCACATCCCACTTGCCATTTCCACCAAAATTAGGAACAGTTCATCCAAAAATGAAAACTGTCATCATTTACTCACCCTCATGTTGTTCCAATTCAATATGACTTACTTTCTTCTGCTGAACATCTTTTGCTCAGCATACAGTAATCTTTCTCATAAAGTGAAACGAGGCTCCAAAAAAACTACCATAAGCAGAAGTGCTGGGGGTAACGCAATACAAGTAACGCAAGTTATATAAGCAGACTACTTTTTTCCGAGTAACTAGTAAAGTAACATGTTACTTTTAAATTTACAACAAAATATCTGAGTTACTTATTCAAATGACTAATGCAAGTTCTCCCATTTATTCACTGACACCTCTCCTATGGACTTTTTTGTATTTACAACCATTAAACATATTTTCATGATATATTTTAATGTGCTGTTTGTCATTTTTGAAGCTTGAAAGCTCTAGTTCCTATTATGAAAAGGTCAAAATATCTTCTTTTCTCCTGCTTTGAAGAAAGACGGTCTATAATGAATTCTGAAATGAAACTATTCCTTTAATTTGTTGCCTTTTCAAAATCCGCTTCATGTTGTGCGTGTCTGTCACAGATGCAATATGCTAGCACGTATATATCAATTGTAGCTAGCAACTTTAAATGACAAGAACCCATTTACCTTATACAGGTGATGTTGCTGTTCCTCTGACATCATCAGATCATGGCTGTCTGTCACTATGGATTCCATGTCCATCAGCCAATCCCAGAGCTCCTGGTACTCCGCCTCAAACTCTGATAGGCTGAATGAAAAGAAGAAAAATGAGATGGGCAGAAAGAAGTTCACAGCGTCTGGAGAGACAGTGTACGGACATATTTCACAGAGTGAATATTTGACAAGCGGAGGTAATTACACTAGCCCGTTAGCGGCCAGTGCGTCGTGGGTATGTGAAGTGTGAACAGAGTCGGGGAGCACGAGGGATCTTTAACCTGCGCTCTGAGTGACGGCTCGTGGGCAGAATGTCTTAATTAAACATGACTTCACCTCCCTCTTGCGCAACGCTGCCGTCAGCTCAATGGTGAAGCACATTCAATATTTTTAACAGCACTGGGATGATTGCATGTGCATACGTTTACACTATAGCCGCACACTCTTAATAGCAGCACATCACCACGAGCGCACAAACAAACATATTAGCGTCTGAGCTTTGCTTAGATTTGCGCCTCAGCAGGAGGGCCGCATGTTTAGAAACATTAGTCGGAAAATTTTTTGGAATTCGCACTGCTTTTGAGTGCTTTGACAGTTATGCCAAACTAGCACCATTTTCCCCCTCTCGCTTTTTCAAGCGCTCCTGTTGTCCCTGAAGAAGAAAAACTATGAATGAGATTAGACAAATAACGATCAAAGAAGGGTGCAAGAGAAAAATCAACATTTCCTTTTTATTTCAATTCAGCGCAGACACAAAAGAAACAGGAATGCGCTATCGAATGCTAGCACGTATATGAAATTTCAACAAGGATAGAGCTGCGAATTAGCATTTCCAAGCAGGCGCTGATTAAACAAAACGACATTGGGGAGTACGTGAAAATTTGAGCCGTGTTTGTGCGCAAGACATTGATCAGAACAAAACGGCAAAGACAGCAAATTAGAAAGAGTCAGACGTGTGCGGCGGAAGTGTGAAGACTCCCTCAGGCGCTGCGTTCTTCGACTGATATTAAAACTCAATATGCTGTTTGTGAGTTAAACAGCATCTTTCTGTATTCTTGCATACCGTATTGTTTTTCGTACTCTCTTTTTTCCCCTAACTAACATAAATCTAAATGCTTGTAAGACAAGCTCTCGGGGCATCCAAACAACATTAACAACAAATAACGAAAAACAAGTAGGAGAAAAAAATGTAAGATCCATTTAGCAAACGTGCATCATGGGATATTGTTCTGTCAGCATCATTTTCTCCTGCTCGCTTTGGTTCGTGAGCAGAACAATTGTACAAGCTTTCCTCTAAAACATGAACTCTTTTGAAGATTGATGCCTGCACTTGGGTGAATCTCACAAAAAAGTGTCAACCCCAAAAATCAAAAGAACAATTATATAATGTAGATATAAAAATAAAAAATTAAGCTTATCTTTAGGGCCATAAGATATATATGTATATTATAAATATGATTATTATTATCATATATAAATACAGTATATATATATATATATATATATATATATATTTTATATATACACTATATATATATATACACACACACATATACATATATATATACACATATATTAAAATGTGACTTCAAAATGTCTTTACGATGTTGTTGTACGTTCCACAGTAATAAATAACAATAATAATAATTATTATTATTATAATTTAATAATTCCTCTGAACACACACACACACACACACACACACACACACACACATATATATAGGCTATATATAGATACATTTTCAATAGACAACTTAAAATGTCAGTCTCCTGCAGCCCTCCTGCAAAGCCCTATTATATGACTTCCGGAGACTTGGAAAATAGTGCATGAATCATAATAAGTACTTTTATTGAATTGTGTTTCAAAGCAAAAGTAAGTCATACGGATTTGGGGAAAAAAGGTGAGACTGATCAAATAATGACAGTTTTCATTTCTGGGTTAACTTCCAGTTTGACCTTGGATGAACTATCCCAGCTCAAAGTGTATCCTTCTTTGTTCTGCACCAGAAAGTACAATAAATTAAAATATTTTTTTAAACAAACACTAGCATGTTGTGTGATCATTAACCAACATCAAAGAAGAGTAAACATATGAATGCCTTTTTACATTATTAATATATTAACTTAAAGGTTTAGGAATGATTGAACGATCCTTTTAAATAGGGTGTCTGTGTACAACATGAATACAGAATAATGTACTAAAATAGGACGAGTAACCCTAGGGTTCACATTAGATGAATCAGCCACCACACACATCATTAGTGTAAAAGGGTCTTTAGGACAGCTCTCATTACACAGAAACACAAACACATTGAAAGCCGACTGTTGTCCTTATATCTCTTTTTAAAGCTCAGAGCATAAATTAGAGCAAAACACAGACAACTTTGTCTGGGTGCATTCCATATAATAACACATAACCTATATAATATATACACAGAGGACTAAAGCAAGCTACATCTGTATAGCGACAGAGAAAAAGAACTGAACTGCTGTTTTCACATTCGGAACCTCAATGCCCCATGACAATTCCACCAAATTACTCAGCTTGAGTGTTACAGAGATCCATTCATGACTAATTCATTAACATCCCAAAAAATCCACATTCCAAGAGCCTCTAATGACCTTATAGGCTATATACACACATATTAAAATGCGACTTCAAAATGTCTTTACGATGTTGTTGTACGTTCCACAGTAATAAATAACAATAATAATAATAATTATTATTATTATTATAATGTAATAATTCCTCTGAATAGCAAAAACTATTGACAAATCATAGTTCATGGCTGCAATGCAAACTAAAGGCTACTGGAATTTTAAAAAGTTCAACATGACCAAATTATTTATAATTATTAACATTATTATTTCAGTTAAAATGCTACTTCAATGTCAACACAGAAAATAAAACTCATCAAGGCACTTATTCTGTTTAAACAAACAAACAAAAAAAATCTTATTCCTTTCTATGCTTTTTTTGAAACTTGAAAGGTTTTGTGAGACTCATCCACCTGTTCATCAGATCTCACATGGAGTGGTTTTGTCGACAAGCATTAGCCATTAGTCACTTGAAACTGGCTCCTCCGGGTCAGCGCAGCACTGACACTCCTGTGAGACAGAAATGGATGCCTCTCCATCTTTCTTTCTTTTCAAATCTGTTTAACATCAACGTGCCCCCCACTCAGCACCACGCCACCTTTCTAAGAGGGGGGAGGTGGTCTAATTCATTAGCGCTCACCCTGAGCCTCACCGGGAAAGGTTGGCCGGCTGTACTGACACCCCTCACATCTCATACGAAGTGACAGTTTTATAGAAAGAGATCTTTAATTTATGGTGCTAATCCCTGGCGCCTAATGCGGGGACTTAACATCTCCTTTTCGCCGCTGTCTGTTGTGTTTCCCTCGTCTCTCCTCTCCTGGAGAGGGCTTTTGATTCCTGAATGGCAGGCGTCCCATTTCTATCAGGTGTGAGGGGATGCTGGGAGCTGCGGCGGTGGGCGTCAGCCCTTGATGAGGCCAGCGAGCTGGAGAGAGGCACCGGAGGCCATCGAATTCGACAGCGCCTCCCTTAAGACATGTTTCCATGCAAAGGTAAGGGCCAAAGAGTCAAAACAATGAATCCTTGAGCAGGCAGCTCATCATTAAAATTCAAAGGATCATTATGGGTTTTTTACTGCAAAATAAATCATTACGACGAGAAGCTTAAAAGGATTAAAACGATGTTTGATTCAAAGCCAAGCCGAGGAGTCCGATCAGGACTCTACGGTTAACATTCAGGACTTTACTGGATCAGGAGAGAGAGAGGGGGAGGATAGAGAACTAATGGACCACCAAATAAAAGGATTAGTTATTTTAGGAAAGAAAAAAAAAGATAATGCAAGTTTGTAACCACATGAGGAACCACTAAGTAGCATTAGAGAAAGGTTACTTCAGGCCCTTAAAATAAATCTAATCTACAGTATTGATCAAACGGCAAGATATTTGTGAAAACAAAAGAAGCAAGGCACAAAATATAAAATATACTTCAGGAAGTTATTGGCGCTCTAAGTCAGCATCATAATACTCACAGAAGCCCTTAAGTGAAGGATTTGAAACGTTCTACACAACAAATCCACATCAAAACAAAGTGCATGGAAGACTTGAATTCCAAACAGTATTTATTAATAAAACTACTGATGAAAATATAATTTAAGAAATTGCAAATTGCATCATTATAAGTATCATTGCGTCATTTTAACATAACACTGATGAAAATAAAACACAGCAAGACATAAACAACTGCACTAACATTGACTTTGGGAGAAAAAAAAGTAAAAATGTGTTGCCAAACAAACTCATTAACGTAATACAATATCCTAGAAATTCTCAAATAAATTTTTATATTTGATAAATTCTTTTCATTACAAAAAATATATTTTTAAATAAAATATTCATTATTAAGTTAATATTAATATTTATTAAATAGTGTTTGCATCATTTAGCACATTTGCACATTTTCATTAATTCAAATGTATTAAAACATTTGTAAAAATAAATATTTTTGAGTAAAACAGACAAAATTTAATATGACATGATAAAATATTTACTACATTTAAAGCACATTTTCATTAAAACACTATAGCATTAGACTACATTTTTACCTGTTCCCAAAAGTTTTGGATACAATGGTGAGCAATGCAATAGAATAAATGTACATGCATTCTGTAATAGTACATTTTATTGATGCTTTTAAGTATTCAATGTATTTATAATCAAAACGTATTCATCTTTCCACTGAGCAAGTCACAGTGCATTCTGGGATTGCATTCGCCATGAAGGACACATGTGATGCTGTTTTCGAATATGACCAAAAAATTAGGCATCTAATTTCACATTTCTCATCGTACCTGTTAGACTTGGACATCAGGGAGAAGTCGACGCTTCTGCTGTTGGAGCAGTACTGTTGACTTTTAAGTTTCACTCTCATCTGATCCAGAACATCCTTCTGGGCCTCTTGATGACTCTGTTGGACCTCCACCTGCTGACACCAAAAACAAACAGAGAGACAGATATCATTTGAACAACCTCAATTACCTCAACGCCATTGATCCGACTTCAAGAACTATTAAAAAACAATAAACTATTAGAACTCGCAAAACTATTAAACCAATTCAGACTTCTAGCATTTAGCCGAATCAATACGGCAGCAATAAAGAGCGACGCTTGAAACTGGCGTCGTTCCATTTCAGAAAGGAGCGTGTTGGTTTTCAGCAGTGATTAGGAAGCACTTGTACATGCTTTTTCAAATCAGATGGAAAAAAGATATGTGTTTCTCCTCGGTGCTTGAGAAAATTGGCTACATTGACTTGACGGAGATCAGTTATTGTGCAAAATACGAGACGATGAATGAGCGAGCCAATAAAATCTCCAACAGAGGGCTTTGATTTTTTGCTCATTTCTCAACACTTTATGAAGCGCACCGGCTTTGCATTCTCCACCGAGCTCCCAGCGCCTGCTCGGCAGATGCCTCTAGAAAGGTCAGACAATTCCATGAATGTAAACTGCTCCTCAATCAAAGCTACCCTTGATAATAAACAAGAAAATCAACAGAAAGATGTGTTGCTTTTTCATTCCATTTATTGGGCGGGCATCAAACACAGGGGCTCGGGCGCTTTGCTCATTTGGGAGGAATGAAATGAACCTAACTAGGAGCTCTAGAAAATTAGCGGCGCGAGCGTGCAGACTTCTCCTCTCCCTCCTCGGAGGAATTTGCTTTCATTTGCCTTCATTTTTGATTCACTTGGCTGGCTCGCCGATGCCATGTCAGGATCCTAATTACTCAATCCCACCGGAGCGGCTTACACACACAATAATAACCGATGCCCACCTCCAACAAAAGCAATTTCTCCGAGCCACCTTGAGCCTAAGGACAGCTCGGCCCAGCACGCCACTTCGGTTTCGAGTCGAGGACATTGTCGTGATGGAGATTCGCCTCTCTTGTGGCTTGCGTGGCTCAGACACATTTGCATTGATCTCGCCAAACCGAGCAGAATTACCCATCTGTATTAAAAACGCAGAGCTGAAATGTATAAGAAATCTATAACGGCATACACAGCTGAGCTGCTGCGAGATGCGGCTCCCATGGGTGAATATGAAAAACATCAATATCAAGCACATAAACCTACATTCATCAGCACTTGAAGGAGAAATCGGGCTATTGATGAGTGCTTGTCATAATGTACGCAGAGCCCGTTCCCACAATGCAGTGCAATCAGTGTCTGAGATAAAGGCTAAGCTTTCGTAATCTCAAGGCAGACAATGTCAACCAAAGAAAAACGCATGTAAGCCCCTGACTTAAAAGCAAAGCGTCACTTAATTAATTTTCCTAATGGCTGGAGTGCTCCACGTCGCCCGCCGCGCTAACAGCCGCTCTCGGCTTCCTGTATGACCTCTGTACGAACACGTGGCCTCCCGCCGACGTGGTAAATAACCCCCTGATCCTGCATACCACGGTTAGGCTGGATTTCCTGCTGCCTTCCCCCTTCCTGGCCCGTTTAAAGATATTCTTATTCAGATATGCAGACAGAAGGGATTTGCGTGTGAATCTCCCGTATACTTATTTCAAACAGAATCATTCAAAAACCTCTCGCGCCGTCTCTCTCTCTCTCGCTGTCAAAAGAGGTCTTGCTTTAAACTGCTAACATGGCAGGAATCGATATGAATTCAATCATTTGATGAATGCTCACCTCCATCCCTCGAGTGAATTCGAGACTCAGATGTTAGTAAAATCCGCTGAATCGAGTCATTTTGGGCCCTTTTGTTTACATGCCTGTGTCAGTTCCACGTCTTCTGGGGCATTTCCACTGTCAATCATGAGCTGAAACTGTGGCTATCATCACTTCCTATATCATGTCAGACTATGTGCACCTCACATTATCAATAAATGTAAACTAAACCCAGACAACTTACACTACCATTCAAAGTTTGTGGTCTTTCTTTGAAAGAAATTAATACTTTTTTTTTTTTTTTAGCAAGGACATATAGCAACGATCAAAAGTGACAGTAAATACATTTATGTTACAAAAGATTTCAATTACAAATAAATGTTGTTCCTCTCAACATTCTAATCATCAATGAATCCTGAAGAAAATGTATCTCCACAAAAATCTTAAGCAGCAGAACTGTTTTCAACATTGATAATAATAAGAAATCAGCATATTACAATGATTTCTGGAGTAATGGCTGCTGAAAATCACAGCAATAAATTACATTTTAAAATGTATTAAAATAGAAAATTGCAATAATAATTCAAAATATTACTATTTTTACTGTATTTTTAAATAAATGCAGCATTGGGGTGCATAAGATACTACTTTGAAAAACATTTTAAAAATCTTACAGATTCCAAACTTTTGAACAGTTGTGTGAATAATTAGCCAATGCTCTTGTGTGTCATTTACAGTTATGCATTTGGCAGTTGTTTAAGTGACTTACAAAGGAGGAACAAAGCAATTTGTCAAAGATCACTCAATGCATGCAAAAAATTGGGAACATGAGGGAAAACTGAAAATGTACACTAAAAATTACGTAAACTAAAAAGAAAAAACATTACATTTTTATATTTCTAATGAAAATGTGGGTGCACACTCTTCTAAAACTTGCCACCACAATGTAAAAAACTGTTGCCAGTGCATGCTGCATAGTTGCTTACTGCCTATGATGTTGTTTTATTATCCAGTTGCTTAGAAAAAATAATAGCACACACTCCTGAACAAGCCTCATGATTTGAGGTGTCATGTCTGTAACACTAATGAGATCAACACTGAATATGAACAACAGAACAACAGCCATGCCAAACACCACTAAAAAAAAACTATATTTTTAACTGCATAATACCAAAGAGAAATAATAATGAGAACAAAAAAAGTCAATAACAGTAAAGTATTAAAGGCCCATCAGGCAAAGTGTGAACAGACCTGACTGATTTGCCTTCGTAAGCTAGACAGGACTGCTAAAAATCTGCAGAGTGTGATTAAAAAAATGCACTGGAGGAAAACAATCGCAGACATGATCGTCCTTGAGCTTTGAGGCACATGTGTTTCACATCGAACAGGAGGGTGAAATTCATCGGGATCAAATATAATCCAAACAGAATTGAGTAATGCTCTTGTGTTGCTTCATGTGCAATGAAAAAAAAGAAAAATGTGCAATGAAAAAGTGAAAGAGAGAGACGGATGGGAAGATTCATTTGGCAGCAGTGCAAACAGGACTGAGTCTCATTGAAAGCAGCTGGGGAATGAAGAGAAATGAGAAAAATGTGACTCTAGCATGCAGTACAAGAAAAAACAAACAAAAAAAAAACAGGTGAACTTCTGGACAGGGGCCAATGGACACCTCCTAAATTCTACATTTAAGCTATGTGACAAAACACGGCGGTCGTTCATTTCTTTATCGTCTGCTCTGAATGCGAGGAGCATTGCGGCGAGATTGAAAACGGTGGGAAGTCTCCCGCCACCCCGGCCCCCCCAGCGACCGGTGTTCAAAACAGCCAGAACATACATCGGCCTGTTTGAAATGTCTCCCATCAGGTCGGTCCTGATGTTCAGAGGCAGCATCGGAGGCGAGCGGCACACACGCAGGCATGCTCGGAAAATAAATTCAGTCGGGAGTTGTGTGGGGTCGAGGCGGCAGCTGTAAATGGCCGAGGGTTCTATCAAAGCAACTCATAAATTTACAAATACGCCTGCAAAGCTTCACCTTCACAAACTCTACACGCGTCTGGAAAATGCTGTCGTATTGTGTTTAAAAAAAAGAAAAAAGAAAAGAAAACCAAAATCCTCAATTGTCATTTAAGAGGCAGTATTTCATTCGAGTGTTTTCACTTTCACGAGCAGGAAAATGAATGCGCTGCTATTCCTTGACGGCCGGCTTTTTCTGCGTCTTGCTCCTCGGAAAAGTTACGAGGGGAGATTATTTTTGAGGAGAGCAGGCCTCCGAGGAGCTGTAGAAGGCATGAAACTCATTTGGAAACTATTACTTTCAAATCACTAGTCATAAAGGCTGGATTTAATGTGTGGTGGGGTCTTCCGACATGAATCACGCAACTTTATGGCGATTATTACAGTGTTGTCAGACAGAAGTTGATCTCGTTCGTTCACGCTTATCTGTCTTTTGCAGCTAACCAGCTGCTGATACGACCGCATTCATTTGCAGTTGTTTGACTGCTTGGTCAAATAAATTTGATTATGTATGCACTAAAAACACAGGGGGTCATATTTCTATGGCTATCTGCAATGTCGCCAGAATAGATGCCACCGTAGGTGCAAGATGAATTGGTTGTGCTTTATCAAACGAGCACTTGGCGACATGCAAAATGTGTTACATTATTCAATTAAGATTCTGGAAGTTAGGTTCTTCTAGATGCAAAGTACCTTTAAGGTAAGTCAGTTCACTTGGTGGCAATTTTACCAATGCACACGTGCAGCTATAGAGTGAAACAGATGGGTTCAAGTAAAATTCCATTAATTTTCTCCACTGAGAATCTGAGAGAAATTGAGGCTGTTAAGTCATGTTATTCTTCTGTGGAAGCCAGTCAAAAAAAGTCATGTTTATAAGTCAAATTCCTGGTGAAGAACTAAATCCCAAAGAGAGATCAACCAATCAGAGAGGCCACTGTTACAATGAAGACAGGAATAAAGCTCACTATCATAAAGCACTGCAAACATTCATAACTGTCTCCCTATGCATTTTGTATTTCTTAATATTTTGCAAAAATAAAACATTGTTTTTATACTAATACTACTGTTCAAAAGTTTGTGCTTGACAAGACTGCACTTATTCAATTAAAAATAAGATCAGACATATTGTGAAATGTTATTACAATTTAAAACAACTAATTTCTATTGTAACATTTTAAAATGTAATTGATTCCTGTGATGCAAAGCTGAATTTTCAGCATCATTTCTCCAGTCTTCAGTGTCACATAATCCTTTAGAAATCATTCTAATATGTTGAGTTGCTGCTCAAGAAACATTTCTTGTTAATATTAATGCTAAAAACAGTTGTGCTGCTTCACACTGGTAGCAGTAAATCTATGTATGTGTGAACGCCCCTGCGTACTGTCTCTGCTAAATGTCAAATATCTTCTAATGCACCATCATTTCTTAAGACAGCATTTTAAATATCTATTTTTAAAAAGCCCTCACTCTAAATCTAATTGATTAGGTCAGAATAAATTTTTAATTGGTAATAAGGGATGACTTACATTTAGCTTAAAGCAAAACAACTCCTTTGACCTTGACAAGAAAGTGAGCTTTTGTCCTCGCGAAACGCATCAGGCCTTTACCTGCATATGCTGCCGCCCCTTTAAGAAATATCTTTGAAAGCTTTAGCTCCTGCAACATTTATCAGGGCGTGAAATTAGCAATTGCTAGGAGCCAAATTGCTGCTTCTTATTTAATGTTGTTGCTAAAAGGTGACATTTAATCGCTGATCCTTGCTTCCATGAAGTCTAAGCACCCCGAGACCCATGCAGGAAAAGACGCGGGGGTCTGAAACAATGTTCACGTTATGGATTAGTCAGGCAGGGGGTCGTATTGATCGGGTGATCATTTTCAATCTAATAGAGACCATCTTCGCTTTAATATGGTCTTGCTTTGCTTTAGCTTTGTCATGCATGCCAAGCAATCACACCAGGTGTGTGTCAAGAATGTCAGAGTAGACTCTGCCATCATAGACGGGTGATGGGAAACATCTGGGTCATTATACAGAAACGGGTTTGTGTCCCTCTCATATGTACAGTATGTGTGTTATTGTAGGCATTTTATATCAACAAAAAATTCTTAATTTCAAACACTTTGCTTGCTACTTGCTGTATTAGCAAATATGTAATATAACAAACCAACATATAGAAATATCTAATAAAGAATTGACAATTAAAAAAGTGGATATTTGTGGAAATCTCTATCTAATAAGTATCTCTAGTCTCAGAACCGTGAGAACAATGGCTGTAATGTCAAATTAAACTCTAAATTGGTCACTTTTGGGCCATAAAAATATTT